TTTAGCTTTAAATAAAATTACGTTGTTTTGGTGAGTTTAATTAACTATAATAATTCATTTTTTATTTGTTCCTTGAGTTAGAAAGTTAAATGTTTTGATGTTATTTGTTGAATTTAAATATGGATGTTTATATATTTATGTAATTTATTTGATTCAATATAAACATTTGAATGTTTGTGCTAAATGTTATAATTTAAATATGAGGACTTCCATTTTGTTTGGAATGTTGTATTTTATTTAAGTATGCATGTAAATTTTAGAGAGATTGTCTTCAAATATGTCATATATATGACTAAATTCGTTTGTTGTTTACGATTTTCTACTTTTCTATGTTTTTATTAAAATTGGAATAAACCGATTATACACCACCGATAAGATCATACCACTTATCAAACCAGCATATAATGATATAAACCAGTTTGACGACAGTATACTATCATTTTATGTCGATGGCACATTCACAGTGATCTCATTCTCATGGCATGGAGGATACAGATGGGGTGAGTAAGTAGGCATTAGGTGGAGACCGGTGGCTAATGAAAGTGCATGTAGCTCAACTGAAACATTCATCACCTATTCAGTCATTTACTCATTTCAGTCTGAAAAAATTTCTTCTTTAATTTGGTTTCACCAGTGGTGTAAACGAATGGTATGAAATTGTAGTAAAGACTTTCTTTCGATCAGTTTGTGTTCGAGTTCTTACGGCCCGTAATACCAATAGTTGAGTTCAGAGTTCAAACTTTTATACGCCAACTTTAATCGGCATCCCGGAAAATATAATATACCTACCCAATTTTTATATGACATGCGTTTACATTCACACTATCGTACGTCAATCAAATTTTACTATTTAGATCACGAATTAACTAGAGTTTGGGGCTTGATATTATACCCTAACTTCTAATGGGTGCACTCTAGTCCCTAAATTCTCTAACTCAAATCATAAAGTTCATCTAATCTAAAAAAAAATAATACCTAACAACTCTTATTCATTGAAATATATCAAAACACATATAAAAAATGTGAACGCAACTGTATAACTTACGTCAACCATACACTAGCTTTTTCCATATGCCACCATACGTCCGGCATGCACTCGTTTCCAATTTATTCCATCTAGCCAAAGATCTCCAATACCAAACACTTCCCCATCCCTTCTTGCAAAATTTATTTCTGTCGTCACAACTTAGCAATAAATGGAGCATATGAATAAATGAATATGAACTATTTAAGAGTATCTGTTTTTATTTTATAAGTTATTTGGGAGCATCTCTCATCCAGTTACTAATGATAAAAAAGAAAGAAATGATTTAATTGAATCCATCGAAAATCCTATCCAACTTATAAAGTTTACCCTTCTCATGGAATGCAATCAGGTTATGAAGTTAATGTCGGCATAATTAGACTCTATGATAAGTTCGTGTAATTGATAATTAGTAGACTAGGTACACATTATATACTTTTAGGGGTCGTTTGGAAGTTGCGAATGTTAAATCATTGCATTGTAATGAATAACCATAATATAAATGCATGTATTGATACAATTGATTCATTTTAACAATACCTTATTTGGTTGTTGAGATCCTACTTTATGCATTGATTTACATAAAGTTAGTTTTATGGAAAAATGTCACATTTACTCTCAACTTTTATAATAAGACAAAATCTATTGGGGATATAAATGGAAATAAAAAATTACACAAATCTAAAACCAACAATCTCAACTTTTAGTTGAAATTGTATAAGAGCATCTCCAATGGTGTCATCTACATGCAATTTCAAGTGTGGTCCCTACTACCACATTATCAACTTTAACAATTATCTCACTCTTCATTTTCATACAACCTACATCAACGCCATCCACTTGCAATTGCAAATCTGGGCCCTACTTACTTTTTAATACAAATCAATATTCATATTATCTCCACCATTTTAATAAAATATTATAATATCCTTTCAACTTAAATTAGCAACTTCCTATAACTAATATCAATTAAAGTCAATAAATATAATTATAAATTTAATGTTACTAATTATATAAAACATTTTATGTATTAATTAGTTGTCTTAACGTGTTTCGTGTGTTTTCTTTTCAATTTGTACTTTGTACTTTGCGGATGTAATACTTTAAAGTATATATAAATCTTTAAGGTTTGTTTGTAGTAATGTTTTATTTATACAAAAATGATTATCGTTACCATTAACTAAATACATATACATATGTGTGTATGTGATAGAAAGAAATATATATACAACATATAATTGGTGGTGGAAGCAACATAGAAAAAAACAAATGAACAAGAAAGAAGGGAAAAGAAAGAAAAGACAAATTGGTGGGGCCCTGTTGCAATTGCATACCAATTTGCATGGTGTGCAAATTTGTACCATTTGCAAATGATGTCACATCAATGCAAACCACTTTCTCATTTTCATCTCTCTGCCTATCTAGGCTTGCAATTCACCTCATTTGCACCATTGGGGATGGTCTAATGCATCATTTTTTGTGATTGTTGGTGGGACCTACCTAAAACAATGCATGCATTGTTTAACATTTTGACACTTCCAAACATTGTATTGTGCACAATACATGTATTCAACAAACACAACTCTAACAATCACAACTTCCAAACGACTTACACTTCTTTCTCGATGAAATGGTTATTAATTTTTTGCTCTTTTTCCCTTGTATATCCTGTATATACAAAATCAACCCGTCTGTATAGAGATGAGCATGTTTTCTCTCCCAAGATTAATGCTACCAGGTCTTTGCTCCCTCTGTTGATTGATATTTTCTGACGGCATCACAACTTTTCTTATTAAATCAATTGGTTTTAGTATTCTCTTTCTACCACGCACTCTCGTACTCTTTTATCTTGATTTTCGTCCTCCTATAATGACTTGCTCTCAAAACTCTCGCGCAAAAAACAATAGTAACTATAATGCGAATCAACAGACCTCACACACTATCATCAATGGGCGTCACAACAACTAAAATGTTGAAAACCACTCATCGGGATGGGATACAGTGACATCCCTTAAGGGGGTTGTGAATTTCGCTACCCACATTTTAACCTTCTATTTCATTCTCTTTCTTCCTATTTTCAAATTAACGGTACATATTGGATTAAGGGTATTTTTGGACGAAAATATTTACCACATTAGATCATTACCCCTATTAATTACCAATAACCCTAATTAACTCTATTTCTCCTCTCTCTCTACCGCCATCACCAACCATTCTTCTTCTTCATCTTTTCTTCTTCTTCCTCCCATCTCTTCTCTCTCTCTCTCTCTCTCTCTCTCTCTCTCTCTCTCTCTCTCTCTCTCTCTCTCTCTCTCCTGCCAACACCGCCGTAGTCCTCCCACCGACCGTTGCACCCTCCGCCTCCCACCACCGCATCGCCACAGCCCCGCGCCGCAACCCTCCCACCACCTCGTCGTGCCCTCCGCCTCCCACCACTACCGCAGTCCTCTCGCCGCCCTCCCACCACAGCTGCATCACCCTCCCTACGACGGTGGAGACGCCGCCCTCGCCTCCCACCACCACTGCCACGAGGTCCCTACGCGATGTCACAAACTCCCCCTTTCCTCATCCTTTCTTTTTTCAGATCTGTTTTTTTTAGACAAGTGGTACTGATTTTCATATGGTAGCTGCTAGTGGTACTACCATATGGTAGTGCCCAGATCTTAGTGGTCGCGTACCACTATCGTTTGGTACCACTACCATCTGGTAGGCGCTACTGGTACGCTTCCACTACTCACTGGTACGTACCAATGACTAGTGGTAGCGTACCAGTATTCACTGGTACGATAACTTCGGTAGTTTTTACGTACCACTAGACAAAAATCATTACCATTAGTGCATTGACGGAGTGGTACTTTTTTGTAGGTTCCCGGAGCGAGTGTGATTAAAGGATTTCACCGGAGAAGGTCTGCCGGTGGGAGAAAATCAGCCGGCCGGAGTCAGTGGCACTTGGAAAAGGAAGAAAGAGATCAGAAGAGAGAGAAATATATTTGTGATAGGATTTAAATTTTAAATTAAAATAATGTATTTAATATGTGTTTTAATTTCCCAAAATGTAATTAATATAAAAAGAAAGTAATTAATAAGATTATTTTTACACTACCCTAATTGCCCTTGGTTGTCAAACTCACAACCCCTTGAGGGGTGTCACCGTATCTCATCCCCCTAATTGCCCTTTGCTTGTCTTTCCATTGGGCTTGTACCAACTTTGATTACCTTTCAGTAATGAAACTGATTTGTAAAAAAAAAAAAAATATATCCCATCCCCCGTGCATCCCAACAAATCATATTAACACCTATGAGCTAGAGATATAAATGACCGATTGACAATCTTTTAATTGGCATAATAAATCTATCAATTAAAAGATTGATGCAAGGCCACCACCATAAACTTTGTTTACATAAATGTGTATATAATACATATATCTTTCCTGGTACTTCACCACCAACGTAACATATAGCTATGTGGAGCCCATCTCTCTCAACATAATCTCTTCACAAAGTGGAGCCCTCCCTCAGAAACCCTATTCCATTCCCCCAATTGGAAAAGGAAATACTCCAGCCAAACCCAACCATGCTCTCTCTTTAACCATACCCAATTGCCCACCTACCTTACACCAAACCCTAACCCTTCTTTTCCTCCCCTTTCCCCCACTCTCCCTCTCTTTCCCCCTGTTCTCGAAAGATGGGAGGAAAATGGAGGGGAGGGGAAGGGATTAGGAAGGGAGGGATAATTTGGAGGTTAAGGAAAATGGAAGGAAAATTGTGTTTTATGGAGGAAAGTGGGAAGAAAAGTGTGTATTGGAAATTGTGATGGATATGTTATTTTAGTGGGTTATAATAGTAAAATTATTCGATTATATGTTAATATTATTTTCATGGGTTATAAATTGTGAATTAAATTTGACTTTCTTACTAATTTTGTTCACTATAAAAATCAAAAGTAGATGGTTTGATTTTTTTTTTATTTTGTGAACCTATTGTTAAAATTTTGTTCTCTATTTTTTGGATTCATCAACATAGCAACTAAAAATGACGGGTGGGCAACGGGACGGATTGGGTACCCGTCCCATTTGAAACGGGTACCCAATCCCATTTGGGGAGTAAACTCTAACCCATATTCCAAACCCGTACGATTTAACGAGTACCCATTACCCGTACGAGACGGATAGCCCATATATAATCACAAATTATAAGATCAAGAACAAATTTTCCTAACAAACTTTCCAGGACCCAAAATTGAAGAGCTAGTAGCAATGCACTATAAATACCACACTTGATCCCCCTCTCTATTTCACCAAATCATCACCAGAAGCTAGTTGGCATTATTTTGCTTCAATTCTCTCGCTTTTATTCTTTGGTATATAGGCTACAGATGCAGAAGAGGCCTAACATTACCCAAATATGTCAAAAATAAGGTCATGATAATGCTAGACATACATCAATTTGTCCAAAATAAAACGACATGCTAATATTGGATATACACAAATCCGTCCAAAAGTTAAGTCATCTGCTGACAAACATAAATCCGTTCCAAATAAGGTCACCTGCTAACATTATACATACCCGAATTCGTCCAAGAAAAGTTACCTGCTAGTACTAGACGCAAATAAATTCGTCCAAAATAAGGCGACTTGCTAATACTTCCGCATACATCATGTTATACAAAACAAAACACCTTCATACTACTTCAAAAGTCAACTTGCCAACTAATAGTCCCAATACTTCGGTGGTAATAGAAAGCCAAAGTGCGATACTTGCCACCAGTTTGGGCAAGAATAGACAAAAACCTCGCTACTTGCTCTTCCACAGTGGCACGCTTATAATCTTGCAACACTCTTGTACCTCGTAATTTTTCACAGAATAGAGCAAAGGCATCTACTCCCATGCGCAATATGGGACGACATGCAACTTCTTGGTTATGTAATTCTTGCAAAAACTCGCTCCTTTTATCTTCTCTAACTTGATAACTCAAAGATCCACTAGAGGCTTGACTATTTAATAGATGCAATGCAAAAACAATGTAGCAAATAAGCTGGATAACACACATCCTCTTTGTCTTTGCCAATTTTCCAAGACATTTCTCCAACTATCTTGTTCTGCTCTATGCAAATCTAAAATCTCTTCCAAACCATCAGCAATATGCTCTTCGATCTCATTCGAATCTTGAGCTTCTCTATCCATCTAACCAAGATGTACATTATGATTAAGTTGTTATGCTGATGTTGTCAAATAGAGTCAAGAAACACATATTATTCATTACATTCACCAGCAAATTAAGAACTTTAGTGACTAAATCATGCTGTTTACCCCTTTCTGATGATGTTGATATCATTAATTTGTTTGGTCTAAGAGGAAAAACTATAAACATAGTTACAATATTTCAAGCTATGCGCTTACCCAAAAAAAAATTCAAGCTTTGTAACGAATAACAAGGTTCAAAGGTTGTGTGGGAATTATACCAAATCTTCTTACAAACCTATTTAGCCATCAATTTGGACTTTCTATATTTTTTATAGTGTTCTTTCACCTGCAATTTTTGTTCCATACCCCTCCTCTTCAAATTAAAATAAAATCAATGGTTCATTCAAGAACAACATCCAATAGTAAAAGAAAGAATAATCGTGGAAGTGAAGGTTCTAGTGAGGCCAAACCTAAATAAAATTGACATGTCTTAGCTTTCCTCATTTGTTTTAAGTTTGGCCAGAAACCATACCCCCATTTCTTTGTCACTTTCTTACCCTGTTCCTTTTCCATACGTTTGTGAAATTATGCTAAAGTGCCAAGGATGGAGACCATACTAGCTAGCCACCTACCTAAGTCCTAACTACTCTCGCCCTCATATTTTTTTTACCATGGGAAACTAACTAATTGAAAGCTTTATTTAGTCCAAATAAAGAACAATGATCCATGGGCAGCAGAGTTCATATAAGCACTAATTTCTAGTCGACAACTGCAAAGAAAGAATAACTAGAGGTAGATCAACTATGCCGCCATGCAAAACATCATACATCTCGGTTAATTAGACTACACACATAAATAAAAAGCAGTAGCATGAATCAAAATGTTATAAAGCAGTCCATAGAGGTAGCAGAGCAACATTACCTCCAGCAACTATGTTGCCGTTCTGATAGCAGGACCTCCAAGGAAACAAAATAATCGGGAGAGACTTTTAATTAGAAGGCCCAACAGCGAAAGCAAAATCCCATACAAAATAAAGATGAAAGAAATTATATATGAACCCTAGATGCTCTTATTTGGGGGAAAAGGAAAGTTGATGGGTTTTTGGGGGGGAAACAAGGATTCGGTACAGATTCTTACCAAACTAAAGATAGGTGGTGAATGTTGGAACTGATTCGTCAGTAAAGAAGAATGAAGAATTGAAGCTTAGCCGGAGATTTTGTTGGGGGGTTGATGGTGATTTTCGAGAGGGGGATGAAGAACAGATCGATTAGGGAGAGAAGGGGAGAGTTTTCATCCCATTATTTTTTTTGTTTATCTACATGATAGAGATGAATCAAAGATTGAGCAAAGATGGAGATGAGAAAACCTTCATCTGTTGTTTGGGGAGGCACGAAGAAGGAGAAGGGGGGAAAGAATGAGAGAGGAGAGAGGAGAGAGATGGCTGAACAAATATGATGATATTGTTTTTCTCTTGCTTTTGGAGGGATTGATTGTACAGTAGATTTTCATTTGTTTTCCCTTCCCCCTTTCTTTCGCAAACAACGGAAAATGCATTGGGAATTTAATTTCCCTTCAAAATCTTTCCTTCACCCCCTTTTCCTCCCTAAAAAAACAGGGGGTTTGTTTCCTTCACACATACACGTACTTCCAATCCACTCCCAAACAAAAACATAATTCCCCAACCCTAAATCCCAAACTCTTCAATTATCAAAACGAACAAACAAATGCAACTAAACAAATCCAATATCTCTCAATAGAATTGGCAAGCTATTACCCTATCAAACTCGGGGTGATCTAGATGTATATAAAATATCGTTGATATTCACGGCAATTTGTGAACATTTTGATAAGCAATATGATCACCCATTCACGCCAAAAAGAATTATTTAGCTAATTCACAATCCTTTTGTTCGAGTGTGTGGACTCTATGAGCAACATAAAAAATGAGAGAAAATACTATTGCTCATCGCTGCGACGCGCTCCCATTTAGTTAATATTTGAACCTAATATTGAATTGGGAAAGTGTAACAAATTTTGCATTGGGCACAAAACTAGAAAGTATTTCCTCCAATGCAAAGACACCACTTTTATTGCTTCCCTTCTCCCCTCTTTGCATTTTCCACATTGGTAAGAAATTTCGGAAATTACCGCTAGTATGACAATTAGTAGTAGTAACAATAAGGGAGGGGTGGCGGGAAAATAAGGAGATAACAAAATAAAAGCCAAAAAATAAAAAGGAGGCGAGTGAGTGAGTGAGTGAAGTTAACGCCAAGCGGAAGCGACGGTGAGAGATTTCCCCATCCAACCGAAACAAGCCCCACCGTTGTCTTCCTTGACGGTGAACCCCGGGATGGCCCGGTTCGCCGAATTCAGCCTCGCCCGCATCAACTCGGTCACGGCCTGACTCAGCGGCTTCGGCCTGAACCCAGCCATCCCCATGCGGGCCCGCCACTTCCCGAAAACCTCGCACCGCTCCACCCGGTCTCTCCCCTCGCAGGCCACCGCGTTCGCCAACTTCCTCCCCAACCCTTCCTCCACGCGCCCACGCTCCGCCTCCCCCTGCACCGTCGCCCCGATCGAGTCCAACAGCGCCCCGTAGTACCCGAACGCCTCGCTCACGCGCGCTAGGAACGGCGCCGTGTTCCTGTTCATCTCCTGCTCCACCACCGTCACGACCCGCGGCTCCATCGCCCGAACGCGCCGTAGCAGCTCATCCCGCGGGTTCTCCGTCGACACGCTCTCGTCCGGCATCCGGAACAGCTTGAACGCGAAGTTCACCGCCAGCGGCTCGTCAGGCTCGCACCCCAGCGATTCCCGGCTCAGATCGCTGAGTCTGCAGCTCGCCGCTGCCGCGACGTTGAAGTGTAGCGTAACCCCGAGCCCCTCCGCCAGCTGGCGGAGGGAGTTCCCAACTGAATTCAGCCTCGCCCTTTCTTCTTCCCCACCGCTGCCGTCCGGCACCGCCGTGATCTTCACCACCGCGGGGCTCCCGTTCAGACGCTCGGCCATCGCGTAGAGGAGGTTCATGTACTGACCGCCCTGCCCGATGTCGAAATCCACGACGTGGAAACCGTTCTTCATCTGCCTCCTCCAGAGTGGATTCGAGATTCGCCGCCATGAACCCGAGCTTGAAACAAGGGGAGAGCTCGAAGAGGAGCTGAGTCGACGCGACATGCTCTTTCTCATACAACTCCCCAACAGGCGGAGGATTATCCGCCGGATTCACTCTCGATTTCAGCGCCGAGAACAAGTAATCCATCAGCCTCTGCTTCGAATTCCCCTTCCCTCCGCTCGACCCGACACGGGACAGGATCTCCGCGGCCGAGTCGCTCCTCCCTTCGTATATCGCCGCGGCGGCCTCCATCAGCACCGGCCTCGTGCAAATCGCCGGAGTCGTAGCGGCGGAGGTAGTCGTCGAAGAATTGGAAGACGACGAGGAAGGGCTCGGCGAGGGAGAAATCGGATTATTGTTGTTGTTGTTGTGGTTGTTAGTGGTGGTGGGGCTGGAGGAAGAGGAAGGAGAGATGAGATTCTGAATCGTCTCCGACCACTCGCTGTTGGTATTGGTGATACCGGAGACAGCATCCCCACCGCATCCTTCGTCGTCTTCGCTGTCGTCATCCAGAAGCTGCTTCTCCAATTCCTGAAGCCGATTCATCATCTTCTTCTCCGATTCCTGACTACCACCACCCGCCGCCGTCGGAGCAGAAGCACTAGCAGCAACAACTCCCCTATTGCTCTGACTCATCTGACTCGGCTGAGCCGACTGTACCGAGTTCGCAAACGGAATCCCCTGCAGAGTTTGAATTTGGGTACCATTATTGTTATGGCCAATATTTATAGGCTGAGGCCTCAGCTGCTGAAGCAGCGGGAACCCATAGCGTTGTTGCTGCTGCTGATGTTGAGAGGCCGCCGGCAATTCAGGCGAGAAGTTATTATTGGCGGAGAATTCTATGGGGGAAAGAGTTGAAATCGGAGAAGTAGTTGTGGTGGTATTACTGTTCTGGTAAATCCTCGGCTTGACGGAGCGAGCCAGGAGGGCGTTAAACGGATTCAGGCTACTACCCTGGTTTTGCTGCTGCTGGTAGAGATGGTGCTGAGAAGTCTGGTAATCGGACAGGGTTCGCTTCCCGATGTAGCTCGCCACCGGCGAGTGGTGGAGCCGCTGCTGCTGCTGGTATTGGGCGATCTGGGAAGAAGAGTCGAGGAAGATTTGGGAGAGCTGGGTTCTGTATGGATTGTTTGTCTGAGGGTTGGGATTCATCGATCTGCCGGAGAATAAATCTGAACCGCCGCCGGGGAATCCAGAAGCCATTCTTTTTTTCTGGAGGGGATTGGGGGAGAGGAAAGAGGTTACAAGAAGAGTTGGTGATTGACGAAACGCATGAAATGAGAGATGATAATAACAGTAAATGAAGAAAATTGAAAGAAGGGGGGGAGAGAGAGAGGACAGGGAAAGGCGGAAACAGAGAAAGCGTTTTTCTTTCTCTAATTGCGTGGAAATGATTCCGATGAATATAAGGAGAAAAAGTGAAAAATTTCCGAGAGATAGGAGGAGAGAGAAAGGGAAGGATTTTATTTATTATAATAAATTAAATTTCAATTTCCAACTAGCTTTTATGTTTTTTTTTATTATTTTGGTGAAATTTTATTTTGTTTTAAATAATAGTGTTATTTGGGTTTGGCGATGGACTTTTTCGTACGTATATGTGTTTTAATAGTTTCCCATAATATAGGTAAGGTAATCTTTTGAGGTACTGATAAAAATAAGGTGGAGGACTGGAGATGGAAAACTGGAAGAAGCACCCTTTGCCCTGAAGATTTTTAGTTGGAACATCTTCGGAAAACACCTTAATTCTAAAATTTAGTATTTTGCGAAATTATGTGCAAAAATGGTCCACTCAATATACTTATTTTCACCAAAGGTAAAATAGACAACGGTAAAGCTGCCACGATAGTGAAGGTTTTGGAGTTTAGATTCCAGGTTCGACACAAGCGAGGCTCGTTGGTGTTCCCTGAGGTATAAAATTGCTTTATATGGTTCTATTACGGATTTAAATTGCGTGTAAATTAAATTAACATAAAAATCTTCTGCATGTTGCTTTTGCATGAATACATTTTCTTAAAAAATTTGTTATGATTGAATGATTCTCATGTTTTGAGAAAAATTACTAATTTTAGACATGAGATTTCTCTTCTTAAACTCTCTTTCTCTCTCGAGTCCTGACAAATTCTCCATGCACTTTTCATTTAATCTGACGTGAACTGATTCAATCGTCGAAATGTAAATTAAGAAACGCCTTTATCTCTTTAAGAATATTGTCACATATTCAAAATTTTAAAAACAAAATGGAGGTTGAATCACAACTCGTGATTGTTCCAAGGATTGCACCTACAAATATGCTATCTTTATGATCGAACTGCAAATACGGTATAATTTTAGAAACACTCACTCTATCCAAACTTATCGCGATAGAAACATGTTGCATAGGAAATTAAAAAAAAAATTGCATAGTCTATGTTAATTTGAGATGAATATTCTAGTTTCGTTTGGTGGTGGTCTGGTGGAGGATTAATGACACAAATATTGTTTTTTTTTTAATTTACCACTAATATTACAAATTAAAAACTATTGACACAAATATTGTGTTTTTTAGTAAGGATTGGGGCGGGACCACCTGAGACTCAGGCGGGACTGATTTTTTACCCAGTCCTGGGCGCTGGCGCCCCAGTCTCAAGCGGCCCCGCCTCAGTCAAATTTTTTTAATTAGTCCTAGGCGCTGGCGCCCGAGACTCAGGCGGGAGCGCCCCGGACTCTTTTTTTTTTAAAATTCGGACGGCCCCCCTCCCACCTTATCCCCTCCCACACCACACATCCTCCTCCTCCCTTCTTCTTCCTCCCCCCCAACCCCGCGAACCAGAGACGGCCCTGCCTCCCGCCGCAACTGCTACCGCCCCAGACCTAAGCGCCGCCGCCGCAGACTCGGGCGCCGCCGCCACAGACACGAGCGCCGCTGTTGCCGACTCGAGCGCCGCCGTCCCAGACTGAAGCGCCGCCGCCTTTGACAGAAGCGCCGCCGCCTTTGACTGAACCGCCGCCGCCCGAGATGTCCTCCGACGAAGAACCAGTCGCCGCCGGCAGAGGCAGAGGGAGAGGTCGGCGAGGTCGTGGTGGAGTCGGCGGCCGTTTGCGCGGTGAGACTCTCGTCGGCAGCTTGATTTTTTTTTAATGTTTTGTGTTTTTTTTAATGTTTTGTTGCTTTGTTTTTGCAGTTCCTAGGCTTATGGATCCTTATTCGATGAGATTACTGCCGGCGACAATTGATCCAAGTCCTGTCGATCCGACACTTCTTTGGGGACATGGCCAACATCGTATCGACTCTGTTTGGACAAACGAGGTAAGTATTTGATAATTATTCATGTAAAGTTAATTAGCTAATTAGATTATTTTAGGTTGTGAACTGAACTGTTAGGTGAAATTAGTATAATTTTATGTTAGATAAGACAGATTAGAATTTATTAGGTGAAATTAGAATTATTACGAATGAAAATGAATTAATATAAGTTTTGTGCACTATAGGCTGGTGATCGATCTTACCATGTTCGAGGTACGACCATTTTAGTACCTTACCATGAGCTTTATCGGCCATATCTCGAAGCGGCAGACTTGTTAAGTGTCGTGCCCCTAGTCCCTATGAACCCCGATGCGAGTTTGATTACTGCGCTCGTAGAGCGGTGGCTCCCCGAGACGTCGACCTTCCATCTACCGTGTGGTGAGATCACGATCACGTTAGAGGATGTTGTTACACTGTCCGGTCTAGCGATCGACGGTGATGCCGTCGTAGTTGATATACCGGATGAGGAGTGGTCGGCGATCTGTTTGAGACTGTTAGGACGAGTTCCGGCCGATCTTGTAGGCAGTGTCGCTGTTGTTAGGATTGTTTGGCTGAGGGTTGAATTCAGTCATCTGCCGGAGAATGCATCACAGGAGGTTATAGAGCAGTTTGCACGAGCTTATGCTCTATCTCTGCTTGGAGGTGTACTTTTCTCGGATCGGTCTGGAAGTACGGTGCACCTACAGTACCTACTTCTGATTGAGGATTGGGAGAGAGCTGGACGGTTTGCCTGGGGAGCTGCTGTTTTATCCTACCTGTACCGTGAGATTGTTGACAAACCTATACGCATTAGCCCCCATTAGGTTGCAAGCTGCAATGGCATGAGAGCAAGGAATTTTATTTCCTTGAAATTTACCACAAGTGCAAAATCCTGCCCGGTTTTGATCGTCAAAGTGAACTGTGAGTGTGTTTGACCCTGTCATGTTGAAATTGTTGGGAGGAGTCTGAACTACATAGATGCCTTGACCTCGATCAAGAGCTGTCACAGAATGTCCAATTGTCTTTTGTGACCTGTACTTCATCAGCTCTTCGCACTTGGTGGAGTACTGTGAACCGCCACTTCTAATTTCTGCTCCTGTCTCCAACCTATACTTATCGAATTTCTCCACCAATCGCCAATAGGTATGCTGCACAAGAGAAGCTATAGGAAGTGCACGAATACCTTTGAAAATACCATTGACGCTTTCTGCCATGTTGGATGTCAGGATAGACCAACGACCCCCACCATTGTAGTTATCATGTGCTAAACTCCAACGAATCTGATGTTGATCCACCCAGTTATCACATGAAATATTTCTATCAGCGGCCACCTTCTTAAATTGCTCAACTTGACGATCAAACTTCTCCAATCGTTTTTCTCCGGCTAACAAAATAAACCACAACACGTGTTAGATAAATTCATGACAAAATTACATGAAAACAAATAACAAAATTAAATGAAGAAAGCTTACCGACTCGAAATAGTTGATTATACATAATTTTGCTTTTAGTCTTCCTTTGCAAATTGCTTGCATAGTGTCGCATGCACCACCTCCACTCCCAACCTCTTCCGATGTTATTCATGGCTTCATAGAGTCCTGCATGTCTATCTGAGATGATGCATACATCATTTCGATCAGTCAAACCCTGAACCTTCCTCATGAACCATGGCCAACTCTCAGTATTCTCGCTCTCCACTATGGCAAATGCAATTGGAAAAATCTTCCTCCGGCCATCAAATGAGCTCGCCATGAGTAGCACTCCTTTATACTTCCCAGTAAGAAATGCTCCATCCACAACCATGACACCTGGAATATTCTTGAATCCATCTATACAAGGTCCATAAGCCCAGAATACTCGCTGAAATATTGAATGACCTGGTTGAGCCGAAGGAACTCTTACCCAATCAATCACCGATGTTGGCATTTTTCTCTTGACCACCCGCAAGAATGTTTGCAAAAAATCGTAGGATTCTTCCCAATTTCCATGCAACTTCTCCAATGCTCTTTGTTTCCCATACCAAGCCTTCTTGTAAGTAACTTGCATATTAAACTTATCTTTCAACTCGGCTTGAACAGTTAGAACACTCGGATTTGGTTGGGCACGTACCAAATGTTTGACGGCCTCAGATATCATGTCGACATCAAGATGGCGATGATCCGTCGGTTGAGTCGTACTGCTACAAGAATGCACCAACTCAGCTTTTCTCACAGTCCATTCTCCCCCAACATCTCGACATCCAAACCGCACCATCCAAGGACAATTGTTATCCTTGTGCCTCAAGCATCTGACCTTCCATATTGAAGGTGACGACTCCACCACGCCATATTGAAAGTTGCGTTGTAGTGCGTGGTGTTTAATCGCCATCTGTGCAGCTTGTTTCGAGTGAAATATTTGCCCCTTGTAGAATTCTCCTTCAAAACTATCAACAATAGGCATTGGAATTACGCCATATGAATCAGCAAGTGCAAATTCTTCGTCCTCTTCATTACCCTGCAAGTAAAAATATGGAGGATAATTAAGCTGCTCTCCTTCCTCCTCCTCCTCCTCCTCCTCATCTTCCTCCTCTCCGTCATCACCGTGATCATAGTCATGATCGGATGGCACGCTCCATGTATCATCTTCTTCCTCTCCACCCTGATCCTCACTGAGCTCAACATGTATCTCAGCACCCAAACAATAAGGATTTTGTGCCATAAAATTCCAAAGCACATCCAAGCTATCATCATCCACAATAGGTAACGCATAATGAAATAAAACATCATTCTGCCATTCTGGAAGACGGTAAGTAAAACCTGTGATCAGATCACTATCTTTTACTGCTTCGTCTCTGCGCCGTATTCTCGGAATTAGAGTCTCACAAAGTTTGTGATATGTGACTCTGGATGGAACCGTCAACTGAAAACTACTACCACCAACGAATTTGACGCCCAAATTATCCTCTACTTTCTCCGATTTCCACTGAACAACTAGTTCAAATCTTCTAAAATCACTACAAAAAAACAAACTCACTAATTAAAAACTAAACACAATCATAATAGCATTTGAATAATATAATTACAAAAATAAATGTGTCTCTTACCTATTAGCCATTTTTGCAGCAGCAACCAGAGCTCTCTCCTCTATTTTGGACGATTTTTTTTGTGGTGTGAATCTGAAACGAAATAGTCTGGGTTTTATAAGGTGGGTGGCCAATCCACCTACTCGCCTCAGTCTCGGGCGCCACCGCCTGAGTCTTGATTTCCCACCTACTCGCTTCAGTCTCGGGCGCCACCGCCTGAGTCTTGAGCGCCGCCGCTGCCAACTAAATAAAACGGTCCAAAAACCAAGCTAAAGCGGCAGCGCCTGAGTCTCAGGTGTCCCCGCCGATTCTTATCTCTAAAACACAATATCTTTGTCAATAGTTTTTAACTGGCCTTAATCGTGGTAAATTAAAAAAAACAATATTTCTGTCATTAACCCTCTGGTGGATCATCATATCATAGAAAGCTTTTTATTTTCAGGAAGGGAAAAAAGAGCAACAAGGGAGTGGGATTGACGTAAGAGTTTAAACCGTCAGATTTCTCGGGCTGATTGGCTCCTTCCTTCCTGCGCAATAGAATTAGATCGGCGGATTTCTATTCCCCAAGCAGATGAA